TACACTAATGAGGAGTAAATGTCGAATTTGTGCAGACTATGAGAAATCATGTAGTCCTGGCTCCAAGATGTGTCTCAGAATCCTATGAAAGTGAAAATATTACATTGGTGATAGTTCAAGTCCAAAGTAAATAATAACTAGAGTCCAGCCTCCATAATTTTTTTCTGGTTGTCGTATAAAATATGACAATACAATTTCGAAACCTGAATGTAATATTTCTTTTTATTCCTTTCCACCTATCATAATATCAGCAGATTTTTCCATACCTCTGCGAGAGTTGTTCAACCATTACTTTTACATGTATCCCAGGCCAATGAATCCTGATTCAGCTGAGTTTTTCTGCTCCACCGATCCAATTTCCTACGACCTACCAATATGACCCACGAATTTGACCTCATAAGTAATGCAGGATTTTAGACAAACTAAATTATTTTGAATAAAATGCCTCACAGTGTCTTTTAGTAGACGTAATTTGTTGTTCTGTAAGTTATAATGCTACCCCTATTGCTGAATGGAAATGAGAATCCTAATTTTTTGGAATATGAGTGTAGGAAATAATGCTTCATGCTTTGAATTTTCAGTCAAGGTGGTGTTGTTTCTTTGCCCAACCGTTCCTCTTTGCTCGATATACTGCTGACACGGTGAGGTTATAAAGAACGTCACACGGCAATGAAGCTTATGCATCACGCGTCGCTGACACCCCTGCCACAATTGAACTATTTGATGCAATGCGGAAAAAGTACTGACTAATAATGATTTTTGTGATCACTGTAATAAAAATGGTATTATAGCCCCTCTTTAGTAAATTTAGTTTCCTTCAGTTGAAACGTAGTCCTGACATAAATCTAATCACATAAATCACCCTTGTTCAGTGCCACTCCTTTACCATTACTGATTGTGTTCAGTTTCATTATGTAAGTTATAGATACACCGTAATTCTGTAGTATTAGTCAGAGTAGGGTGCTTTCAACACGATTTCGAAGATTCTCCTTCAAATTAGAAAGAAATATGAACATTACATTCTGAAACTAGTTCATTGAAAGCTGAAATGTGGAATTCATTAAAGACTAAGCCGAAGCAGCTGTCAAGCACTCTCAGGTTTTCCAAAGATTCTCTAACTTATATCTGCTCCTGATCAATATGATTATGCAGACTTTTGTTAAATGTTAAAATGAAAACATTGTACATAACTTTTGTTCAAAACTATTTACTATAAATATATACGTAACTTTGGAGTGCAATTAAAATTAAGCATGCTGCACGTCGCTTCGTCTTCTCACTGGTCCGCACTGTCTACGTGCTTCACAACTTACCATGTTGTATCCTCTGAAATTTGCAGGAAACTGTCATCCTCATCCGAAGACTATTCTAAAACTGGTAAACAAATTCTAGTAGTGGATATAACCTTAGAAGTGAACGCTTCTGTGGATTATATTATTAATGTAAAGCAGAGAGGACACTAATTGTATTATCAAGTAACCATTAATTCTTATAACTCATCATCTGTGTTTCTATAATATACTGACTCCATATTACTACATTAAACCGGATTTTTTTCTCATATTTCGTATCATTATCATGTTTATTGATAAGTCCCCAACAAATAGACAGAAGTTACATGGCATGGACCATTGGGTCGGGTTCCAGTGGTTGAGTGTTACACGAGCTCGTCTCGTAACTGAAAAGTCCTGGTTTCGAACTCCAGTGAGTGCTTTCTCATGGAGAGTCCCAAACTATGACGAACACATGTCCAGGACTACCAGGTTTTCTAGTCGTTCTGTCGCTTACGTCAGCTTGGGGCCAACCCCGTAACCAATCAAATCCCTGCGAATCAATACTTGACGAATAAAAACCGTGAACTGTTTTGTCATGTAATGAATAATTGCAGTAATTACAGACATAAGTCATTAAGCTATTAGGAGATTATGGCAACGCCACTGAACTTCCGTGATTCGTTAATGTGAGCCAGCTAAATCGTAGAAACAGTAAGCCAACCAATCAATAAAGACATCTCATCAAAATCACAATTCCTTGAATATCATTGATGCGTTCACATCAATGAAAATATTTTAATTGTGTGTGGAGACCAGAGTTCAAGTGTTTTTCAGCTAACTTGATGACAGAAAAAAATGAAGCAACAATATTATATAAAAGTTTTCGATGAATTATTCATTTATGAGAATAGAACGGCTGAAGACGTGATGGGTAAGTTTTGAACGACAGATGTATTATCAGTTTCATTAAGTCATATTTGTATCATCACAAACTTGATTTATACTGCTGATCATATACATAACGTTGTATGCAATCTGCAAATTATATGTTCATAAATATCACTGAACATCAATGATGGTTGTCACCAAAGATGGACCCTGGGAAGAAATATGATTGATTCATATTGAGTGACGTGTCGAAGTACAGAGCAGTGATTGATTAACTGAGAATCCGACAGCCATTATTTTTGAAAAATGACGTTTTATCCAGACTGTAGTTATTGGTTATATAGCCTGAGGGTATTTGACATGCAGTACAGTGAGATAAAGACCGGATAACAAAGGTCCATAGATCAGCACAAGCTTATACTTTCACATACTGACAATAACAGATCATTTCAACATAAGTGGTTCTGTCGAATTCCAATCTGAAAGCTTGAATCTTGTATACAACGGAAACAGTCCTAATTCACCAGCATAAGTAAAGGTGGACAGACGAATCATGTATTCGTCTGATGGTTTCAACGTGACATCTCTATTCAAGTATGTAAAAGCCAATAATTATTACAACAGTCCTTATTATTAGCAATAGACGTATTAGAGACAGTACGGACATTTGTGCTAATTCACTTATCCGCTTCCACTTTCAAACTTCTTTTGTTATGACTGCTGAGGGACACGTGGAGCATGCAACCTAAATATTGTCGTTTAACGAACAATATATTTCGTGATAAATAGCTGCGAACATGCCTATTCACATAGAAGATGCGCATAAAACAAATAATATCAGTGATATATTAAATTCTAGCTGCATGTGAATACTCCGTTCCATAGTAATTTACATCGTACACATCGTTATAGTCGACTTGATGTCCAGTAACGACGAGATGAGCTAGTATTGAACCACGTGAAGATTTTTCAGACCTAGTCCTGGTCGTGCGCCCAATGCAACTAGCTCCGGACAAGTAGTCAAACTGGTCAATACACATAGACGAGGCTAAACAGGGCAGTTCGCCTTTATTTCTCAAACTGAGTATTGGTTGTTTGGCTAGTGAATAAACGGTGTAGCTTAGCTGCTTTAGCAGGCCCTCTCAGACATTGTGTTGAAAATAAAATAAGCAAATGATCACTATAATTTTCATGCAAACAAAATATACACTGGCGTAGAGCCAGTGATGAGGCAATAACTGATGAGGAATATATTTCTTCACTAAATGTTTTATCTTTTCAGAAATATATAGGTTGAACGGAATCAAGGTAATATTAACTAAATGAAAGTCCAGCCCATCTGAGGAAACTTTAGGTGTCTTAAGTTTCGTTATAACGCACACACATCCAATTGAGATTGAACTCCTTCAAGTCTAGTCCTTTCCGCTGATAACAAGTTCTTCCAAACCGTTTTTTTTGCTCTAACATTTCCTTGAGTGGATGTTTCATGGTAGATTACTTTATTAAATGAGATGAGTGGAATGACATCGCAGACGTCTGCATACTTCTCAGTCACTACTAAAAGTGAACATTGTCAACCATCTGAAATGCATTCAAATATAACAGCAGAGTAATCACGATCATTTTGAATACTAGAAACCCACAAAAGATATTGAAACTTCTCAGAGGTCACCACGTTTGTTTCTGAGCTTGACCTAACAGAAGCAGTCAAACTAGGCAATACAGCTATTTCTCCACTACTGAAATTTCCAGAAAAAAATGAATAAATAAACTAATCGATCAGTGAAAAGAGGAAGTTTTGTTAGTTTGAGGATGGTAGTAAGAGGTTGAAGATTTTGTGAATCCCGTCGACTGATTAACATTCTACCGATGAAAGCCGAAGTATGTATGGGAAAGTACAATGTAAGCTACATGTTTCCAGCTGGTTGAACCAGATGGATTGCAGAGACAAATGAAGAGATAGAAATGTTAGCAATGTGTATGAGAAGGTTGAATGTGAGTGGATTATCCAGTTTCCTAATTGGAGAGTTAGAAGTCTACTCATGTCGGTCAGATGTAAACCACAATCAGTTTGAGGCTATGACTATCATGTTTTCAACAAGCGCAAATGCGGGCAGTAATGCAGCAGGAAAATGTCTCCTTAAGCATCATGACGGCAGGATACCCACAAAAGACATAGTCCGAGAGAAGATGAAAAAGCTATGTGGAAACCTGTATTATTAAACAGACAAAACATTCACAACTGAATACACGATGTCAAGGACTGCTTCATTTGAATTAGCTCGATCAAAATCAAAATCTCTATTTTGTGCAGATTCAATACTGATAAATACTCAAATGTTGATGGGAGCATATTCATAATAGACTTCCCAAAGCTAACAGTTGATAAACACTCAAACCATACAGTCTATGTGAGCTAACTCATCGTTAATTTATACCTGGTATTTAACAGTCAGTCAACGTGAGAATTGCATTTTCAATTTCCCATCCCCTTCCTCATCTCAAGATAAAATTAACCAACACTATAATACGAAGTAAACAGTGTCTTACTATTCAACACATGAGAAAAATCCATTCATCTGTTATTAGTAGACACAAAATATATCACTGCAAAATGTATTTCAAATAGAATTCATTGTTACTACAGAACCAGCAAGAAAGATACACAGGTGAATGTTCTTCATGCATAAATGACCTTGATCTTTCAAAGGGGGGGGTGTTATTCTTCAGTTTTCAACGTCTCGCGTTTCGCCTTCTATAAACATCACAGCTATGGATATGAATAAATAAACAATTGCTGCCCAGGTAATCAGAGCTAACCACATCGGTAGAAGGGTCCTCGTTGTTTCATTGTTGCAACGTTTTATACCTTGTCCAGCTAGGTATAACACCTATTACAGAGAAGCAAAATATGAAAACACTGGAAGTTATATGAATGATTGTTTCAAGGGGATTGCCACTAACTTTAAAATGTGAAGGCTATTGTCCTCAAGTTTCACACATATATTGATTCGACTGATGTTATTCCTGTTCAAAGATCATTCAGTTAATTCACATAACTTTCTCAAACTGAAGCAAGATTCTGAAATCAACGTATTTTCAACATATGGTATTTGGAAAGTGAAATCACGACGCAGTAGGAGATTCCTGTATTCATATGAGCGATGCGGACGAAGTTTCTCAAATAAACATAAAGTGTAGTGCATGAGTAGCAGCAATATTTCGAGGTACTCAAATTATAAGATTACGTTATTTATTGTCAACTTGGTAATAAATACATAAACGACATGATAGCAGCAGCTCTATCCTTGAACATCTTGTCATCCCTGCATGAATGCTTCACAGTGCTACACGGAGTCCCACAATATCGTACAAAGGGACTTCGTATACACCACTGTACGTAGCTGAATCATTAGCTACTCGAGATCTGAAACCGGACCTCTGCATCCAAAGCGAAAAATAAATTCTCTTGACCTACCGTGACCGAAATAAATTCTTATTATAATTCTGCTTCTTTTTATTATGTAGGCTCACTATTATTATTGTTATTACTGCTTTTATTTTTATTTTATTATTTATTTTATTAATAACATTGCTTACTCATAAAAATTTTACATAAAAACACTTTATCACCTTTCTACTAGTCCCTGTACATTCTTCACGAGTTTATTGATTAGTCATTATCTCACACTCATTACGTCATGCCAACTTCTGCCTCTTTTCGAACTTACAATTAGTCTTCCCTTCTAGGTTACACCTTACATTACGTAATGCATTTTTCGAGGACAAAGTTTCCCAGTATCTGATTGGTCTAAAAAAGTCTTTGTTAAATATAATTACGATTGTACAGGTCATGTAAATGAATCGTCGCAAAGAAAATTTTCTTCTCTGTTTACGCCTTTTCTTAAATCCAATGGGTTAGATACGGGACAAATGAAGGAAGATGACTATTTATTAATGACGCAACTAAATAAGAGTGAGAAGAAATCAAAATTTCAAATAATAAAAGATGAAATTCAAGTGTTGGTCTGTAGGGATTTGATTGGTTAACAGGATTTTCATCATGAGCTGACATTACTTAGAGAACCATTGGAAAACCTGGTATACGAGCTCGCCTTGTAACCAGAAGGTCCTGAGTTCGAATCCCGGTGGGTGCGTACAGACGAAGAGTCCCAAAATAGGACGAAACAGCTGTCTAGTACTCCCAGGTTTTTCAATGGTTCTCTAACTAATGCCAGCTCATGATAAAAATCCTGCTAATAAAAGATGATATAATCAGCTGACGTTAAGAGAAGTGTTTTCATAATAGAAAGAGAAATCAGCGAGCAACACTCATACACACCTCCACACACACGCAACACAATGCATACGTGAATGCGCAGAAGTGTATTGAGGATAATATCAGTATAATAACAACGGATAATTAGTGATGGTGTATTATATATATATATATAGTACATAACATTGTAAGTTTCATGAATATTCTCAAAATTAACCACCTGACTTACTATGAGTACAGCGGAAGCCAAAAATATGCCAGACAGAATAACTGCAGTTATCTGCAAGTAACAGATAGAAGGTAATATGGACCGAGAATAAATTAGTGATTTGTCTTTTATATTATACGAGTACTTTCAGTATCTTATTTTCCACTGTCTGTCTGTTTTCCACGTTATCCACTGCTTGACTGCATAACATGCGCAGTGTTTGATGCTTACCGACACGCAGGCTATTGTCAGTAGCCCTTTCAATCAGTCAATCACTTAGACTATACTCTATACAGTTGGCCTGTTAGTAATTTGATGAGATTGTAACAATAATATTGAGAATTCAGTCCTTACCACAGACTTGACAAATATGATATCACTTGCTGAAGTACATAAGCTACACACTTAAATCACTTGACTGTCATACCAAGATCTTACTACCGGCTGCTGATCACAGCAAGATTAGTCAGACGCCCGATTTCCAGGATCAAACTCTTCGAGTGAGTGAGAAGAGCCGGCCTGAAGAACATCTGAAACAGACAGCATACAGATGTTAGATTCTGACTCCTCATTACTAAAACTTCACCAAAAGACTTTCAACACAGTGCGAACAATTAACACTATGACGATAACTTTCTTAGTTTTACCACTATCAAAACAACTTTTGTGTCATGGCACGACTTGCAGTAACACCCATCACAAACAGTGTAGCTCACTGGGTCATTAAGATATGGAAGATTAAATCAAGCAGAATTTAAATTACTGAAGTGCAATAGATGGTTGATGCAAGCAGTGATTTCGTAAGTTTTTCTGTTGTACAGTTCATGTATATGGAAAAGTTATGTGTCGTTAGCAACTGAGAGGAATTTAAAAGTGATATTTCAATTCATATCTTCTCCATGAATCTTGAATTGAACAGGCACGGATCAATTTCCAAACCAGCGAAATGAACAAAACTGTGAGGCAATATGAGAAGCTCGAAATGAAGATGTAAGGAGCAAAGAAGAAATGCATTGTACAAATCGGAGCTTCCACTTTTAGTTCAAATGTCGTTTGATTACTGCGTGAAATTTGACTAATGGACAGTTCTGCTACAATAGAGTGGTGTGTTCTACGTTGTTGATACATGTTCTTATAGAATGTCCTGCGCAACATACGACCAGTTACGCAAAAAATAGAAATTTATGAGCATTATTTGAACAATATGGGATAATCACAGGACAACGTACTCCTTCAAGGAATAAATAACACGCTACTTACTTCACGCTGGGCAAGTCTAAAGGCAATTAACAGAATGATACCCAACACTGTGATTCCACCAGCGACGCTCAATAGTATGATGCTCACTTTCGCACTCCGTTTTACAGTTCTGTATCCAATTATCAGTGTCAACACAGCTACGATGATTGTGATAATCCATGGTGCAAAAATAAAAGATCCCATGGATTTGGAGACAGCAGGTAAGGCGATAGACCATAGTAAAACCTAAAACATGTATAGATTACATTGAGCTACGAAATCGTAACTATGTTTATCTTGACAAATTAACGTTAAGATTAACGAGTGAAATATGAATGAAGTGCTATTGCGGTACTGGTTATTAGTTTGTTTATTATTCGTGTAGAAACACGATGGCGTATGTTGTCTTCTTAAAGACTGAAAAAATTTGATCAGTGTGCATTTAGAAACTAGATGGACCAATCTGAAACTATGAGGGATTTTATGACAGAATCGACATACACCTATTTTCTTGAAGGACAACTGAAGCGAAATTGAACACCCTTCAGATAACAAGTTGATCACGCTACTTTAGTTCCCTCCCTAACATTCAACTAGGCGCTAACTAGAACAAAATTAAGTAGTTGGCAGAGCTTGGAAAAATGTAATTTTTTTATTTATTTTGATTACAGCTTGATGCCGCCCCGTATTTTCAGTCCAAGTATGGAATATTCAGCATGGATATCGGTATTCATTATAATAAAGGCTTTTGTATTTCCCAGTGAATGAAAAAACAAAAGGATATCGGTAGCCTAAATTATACAGGCCGACCATCGACATCGGGAGTACGTCGGCAGGGGATCGAACCCCAGACAATGCGCATGGTTGGCGAGAGTCCTAACCACTGTGCCACCCACGCACACTATGATGGTGTGATATTCACATGCAAAATATGAAACATTTTGCACTTGTAAATAGCTTTCTCACTGGAAGTTGGAAATATCTGCCACTTGCTTCGCAATACTTGTTGACAGGAAACAGCCTGACGCTCACACATCTCAGACTAATAAACTGAAGTGATAAACATGTTTGAAACAAACTTTCCTCACTTTGTCTCATGGTCTCATTCTGAACTTTGTTATTCATGTGTATTGAAGAAGTATGTAGTGCACCATAATATCATTGTGGCCTTTCCACAATTATTCACCTAATTAATTGCACACAACGAGTTGTCTGTCAACAATTTTTCACCACTATAAATTTAGACTCCACACGTGTGTCTTCCTTATTTGCAGCAGTGTAAAACTGATTTTATCAATGACAAATAGATCACGCATATTATACACAAAACATTTTAGTCAACATAACAGTCACTGAAGTCTGTAGTCAGCAAAAAACGACTGATCAGATTTTTGCATCACTCGAGACAAAGATGTGACTAATCTGTGATGAATCAGCCTGTAACATCGAGTACAAATTAGCGGTTCAGTCTTGATATACGTATTTCGCGTAATTGTCAGGAGTTTATAAAAGAAACATACATGCATTATCCAATCAAAGAAGGCAAACTCACCGAAAGTGAGATCAGTCCTTCATTAAGTGGAAAAGTCTCTCTAAGTTTCTCAATAATCAATAACACTGACACGGGGATCGCACCGAGTACACTGAAAAGGCAAAATAATAGAAATAGCCAGCTAGAGAAAATCAGCGACATTATGCATAGACGTTTCACAGATAAATGAACACTGTTGGCGATGACTAGCATTCAGTCATCATAGCAGTGTTGTTTCAATCGAAGCAAAGTTAGTGAAAACTACTTTCAGTTTTGAGAGTTTATGAAAAAATAACAAAACAAATTCTGATACTCCATTTAGCTGAAAATTAAATTCAAGTAACTGTTTGCTAACTTAAAATACTTTTTTATTTCCGGTTGGGTGATTCCATTTGACCGTAGCTCTCATTTTCCATCCACCATATACTGAATAACGTGTGTATCCCTGAAATTAGATGAACCATCCTTCAAAAAGCTGACAGGTAAATACTGACTAAACATTTCAGTCTAACTGTCTCAACCAACGGGTAATACAAAATAAAATTGAACAAATTTTAATTGATACCCGTTACACAACAGGTGTCCCTCATGTGCAAGCGATCGCACTTGGTTCAAGGGTCAGAGGAAACACCAGTTATTACTGACAATGCAGTTATATCAAGCTCACGAGTTCGAAATAAAGAAACATCTGAGTCCTAAGTTCGGCCGACAGTCACCACTATTCAAAAGCTCATCACAGTAATCCTCATGAAACTATCCTACGACAATTATTAAACCATCACAAATAAACAAATGTTATCATTTACATCAAATAACTCACAGAAAAACCAGTGGTATGTAAAAGGCGCCGTACAAATGCTGAAGCTTATTACTAAAATCAACAGTGTGTAGTAAAACAATAACAGTAGAGACTTACATAGTTGCTACACAGGTCGTAGTGATCACAGTCACCAAAACCATTAAACATGTAAACATGATGTACTTGATTTGATTACATGTTATACTGTAAATACACAAACACACCTACCTTTCGAAGACAGGTTTGTGCAGCAGTAGGTGGTGGATTTGTATCCTATGAATAAAGCAGTGCAGATGTTTCAACAAACCTTCAGTTTTTCGTTCATGTTTACTTTCCACGTAGTCCAGAAATGAGCTGTCTAACTAATTATTTAACGAAATATCTAAAATGTTTGAAAGCAACCTGTGAAAGATAAGCAATGGTGACACTAGTTAGGTTGTGCAAAATTCACTTTTAAATTATTGAATAGCACTGATTTCAAGGATAATATCCCCAGGCTATTACATTCCACAGATCATTGAAGATAGCAGGATCCAGCAGAACAGTTTTCTTTCTCGTTCAGTTTATAGTGAACCCTGAAATTTTTTTCGAAATGGTGAAAATGCGCTACAGCAAGATGATATGAAGACTAATTTCACTGGTTCAGCTCAGAATGTAGACTTGACCATGTTTTTGAAGAATTATGAGCATGCGTTCTCTAAAAGGATCAGTTAACATAGTCCTGTATCCTGTCTTTATTTATTCTGAAACTTTGAGGGTCATGCAAATGTCTAAATGAGAAACCTAACTTGAAGAATATTGACATTGATAGAATGATGTAGCCTGTAAACTGGACTGCTTTCCAGTTAAAATGTTATCACCATCAACATGCTGGATAACAACACTACTCATGAGTTTCTTTAGCGATCTGGCGAAAATCCTGATTGGTTTTGTACGCTCTACTCATGCATTACTTGGCGTGGGATCCTACTCATTCTCGACTTTATTATTTATACCAGCCGAAACGATCTTATCGTACTTTACTCTTCTTCATCCATTCACCCACCTTCAGGTAATAACTGTTTCACTAATATTTTATCATCCTTATTTCTGTGTCCAAGATCATCTAAAATACTAATCGCAGGATGGATATCAGTCCTTAAATCGACAGTGGATTCTAGGCTGTGGTTACCGGCAATAATCTGTGCAATCCGTCCTTCATTATATTAATTGTGGCTATATCAGTGCTTCATTAAATTTCCCTTGCATCTGTGGACACTTAACAGTTTCTGTATTCAAAGTAATTTAAATTAAATCAGAGTTCCTGAAGGAAACACATTATTGTCAAAGAGTTACATGAATTAACGTGGAATCTGGTGAATATGTTGTTCTGAAAATCCAACTTGATATGAATTTGCACATATTTTATGATCAACTGGAATTATTCCATTGCATATTTTATGGTAGCAAGAAGTGTCTCGGAAATCCCAAACATTAACTGACAAATATTCCAAAACAGATTATCAGTAAAACTGTTGAGAATCCATCTGTATCTGAACTCACCTGATTCTAAATTGATTTATCGTAGTTAACGACTTCAATTTAGTCACTTATATGTTTCAGTGTAAATCAACAAAGTGTATATGCGTGGAATGCAGCAGCATTCATTGAACTTTGAACAACGTTCTATCTTCTATTAGTAGATTGATCTTTGTGAATATACTCTGGCCTTGCATGGTTGGTGAATCGTTATTACTTCTATTTTTTAAGTATTTCAGATGAGTAGAGTACGAATAAATCTTTTGACATTTTAACTTCACCACATAAGTACTCTCTTCCTTATTTATGGCAGGTGATCATCTGATATTCAGCATACACCGAATGGATCCATGTTCTGATTGAAGCATTGGCATTCAGAAGTGCATCATTGTTTCACTTTGTTCATTAAAGTATTTTCATTTGACTCTGGCCCTTATCTCCTCTTCCATCAGACAGCTAACTCATCTTTTCACATTTGACTTCCACCGGAGAGATCCTGTGACTCCTCATGCTACTCATCAGTCTCCTCAGTGTATGTCTAACCCATCTTCATCTCCTTCTCCATAGTAATTAGGCGATAGGTTATTGGTTGTTTTGTTGACTAATTTCCGTTTGCCTAATCCTTTATTACCTGTAATCTGATCTTCAGTATCCAGCGATCGCAGATGCTGATAAATCACATTATGGGGAAAAATTCATTTTGATAAAGTCTCCTAGTGTTACTTGATACGATTATGAGCCCCAAATTGTGCTCGAAATGTCATCAGTTAATACTGCTGTGTACTGCTGAAGGACCTATTCGAAAGTGGAGTGAAACAGTATCCACCACTACCTAGTTTCTAGATGGCTGTCTATCTGATGACACTTGACGACTAAACCTGGAAGAAAGTTGGTTAATTTAATCAAAATTTCATATTCTTATTAGGGAACTGAAAACCTCACAGATGAATGAAATAATGTTTTCAAAATGAGCAATGAGGCAAAACCGCAAATGAACATGAAAATAAGGATGGTGATCAAAATGTTTTGTGATATTTGATCTGTGATTATACACCTTTGACCACTAAACTTCATGAGGTTTTCACTGAAAAGTCATTGAGAAATAACTTTGGATAGATTCATTTCGATCAAACACATATTTATTGGTGTTTTGTAAGTAACCCGCGTTACGGATGGATTCTAATAGCATAACATATTTCCTTATAAATGGTTCAACTCAAAATATTTCATAGTGTGCTATCAGTTCTTGAAGATATGCAAAGGCAGATTTCAAAATTCAAATGAATGTCACAGTAGACATGAAAAGATCCTGAGTAAATGAAGTCAACTCATATTTCCGATGCTTTCAAATACTTACTATCGTTCAGTGGAACAGATGTCTGATTTTCTGTCCTCCAGATTTACCAAATGTTGGGACTTCTCACACGAAATAGTGTGAGAAAGCTAGCATCATTGTGCATTTTCATGAATGATATGATTAAATGGAAATCTCACACATCAAACAGAACTGTTTGCTGGCCTATTACTATTTCTCCTTTATTACACATCAGTGTCATTCAGATTATTCTTTTCAGGTGCTTTGAGTAAAGTAGCCTAAAGTACCGCATTCAGTATGTCGATTTGTGTTTCTATGAATCATGTAATCGGATCGGTGTTTACATGGCAAACATACTTGCGAATATCAAGCAATGAAGTAAAGTTTGCGTATTAATATGGAGAAATTGCTGGTCAGAAAAATGATCATTACGAATAGAAGGGAACAGAATGCCAAGAAACCTTTCAAGCTAACCAGTTCCAGTGAGGTTTAATAAAATGCATGATTATATCATCCATGCAGAATTGGAAATATCTCACTTCGCTTTGAAGTCAACAATGAATGTGTTGTCTTGTGGGTCAATTCAGCTCATATACTATAACTACAGTGGGTTAATTACTTAAATTTGGGATATTTCAGAAAAGCAGATCCAACATATTTTTTAAGTGGAGTGTTACCATCTGTTGACAGTCCCCGAAATTCCAAATGATCGTGATTACTCTGTTGTTATCTTCAAATGCATTTGAAATGGTCCGTAGATTTGATTGCTCAGAAGTCTGTGATATCAGTCCAAGCATACTGTTTAATGAAGTAATCTCCCACGACACATTCAATCAACGAAATATTTGAGCGAAAATTGTTTCGAAGAATATGTAAGATACTCGTGATACTCAGTAAGATACTGAGTGAACATACTACTGAGGATGGAAATAATGATGATACTAATGATTTGAGAAATAAAGTTCTGTGTTATGATCAGCACACTTCCCCCGTGTCAACACAGTCATAAACACACATTTCATCCAACTTATCGTTCAACAGTCAACCTCCTAACACTCACAGCCATCTCCAAAAAAGTCGTGATTTCACATCTATGTTTCTCACTGTTCCCAGTTCATCATGACCGCCAGGATTTGCGTGACTCTATATTTTCCACCACCACGAGTCATCCATCAGCAAGTCAACCATCCCCTAACACATGTATCAATGACTGTCATCATAGAGGCAGAAGGATCTGTACAGTCCTATCATGTAGATATCGCCTGTTATGCAGTGCCCAGTCAACAAGTCACATGTGATTATTTTCGCCGACATTCTGTATTCTGTTACCTTCCCTGAAATTAAGTTCACTGAAGAACACACGTCACCAACACATTTGTCCACATCTGATCATCATTTCATCGTCCTTATTACCCATATAATGTTCGCCCACGGAATAAGTATCAGAATCCTCATGTTCGTCGCCAATTTATTATGACTGATATTACCTGTTTAACTGTGATAACAAATATGTGATATCTGTGTTACTTATGTCTTTTTGTGTGCTACTTTTGCTACGGTAAATCTTCAAACTGGACGTCTTATTCACTAATAAATTTAACCCTTATTGTTTATGACCCATAGGTCATACTTAACTGCGACAATCGCGACGACACTAACATCCTTTATTATTCAGAATACATGATAATATATATCCTTTACACATCCACAGAACTTTAAACCATAAATGGACAGTGAATACCTCATTGATTGCATGGCTTTGATAGCCTTTCAAATTGAATTAAGTCTAACGCTATCCAGTAAGATTATTAAGTCACTTCATGCATCAATCATGACTTCACGGCTAACAACGACAATTTATCCGTCTTAACAAAACTTTACTTGATTTTCGTTTCTGTGATTTGATTGAAACTCACTACACTGTTACATCACTTATAAGTTACTCATCACCTTATCTGTTTCCTGTTTTTATTGTGTGACATTTTTTTCAATTGTATTCAAACATTCAGTTCTTCCTTGGAACTTGAACATACTACTTATTAGTTATACGATCACAATTTCTGGGTAGTGCCTATGAATTTTGGAGTCTTCTGTTAACTGACTTCAGATCACATTTACAAGTTTGTTAAATTGAACTGCTTATAATAATTTGCAGTCTATACGCATCTGAAGAGAAATGCACGAAATGGATGACAGTGCCATCTTGAAATGCCCAAATGGTAGAGTTTTTTCATTCAAA